GCTAGCAACCTTCCTCCAGGAGCAAAAGGGGACAAAAAATATCCATCAAATGGGTGTCTTCTGAAGGAAACGCCCAGGAAATTGTTATTTTCTGTTGTCCTTGTAGAGAGAAAGAGAGAGAGAGAAAGGGTTACCACCTTGGGCATTATGCAATCAGAAAAAAACACGTCTATGTTCGTATAAACTGGCTCATCGTCTTCCAAACCGAGCTGAAAATTATTCTGCAAATGCTGTTAAAGCAAAAGTATTTGTTCCGCCGCGTAGGAGTAATGAGCTGGTTTAACTGATCCGGGTGGTCGTTTTCTGACTGCATATGGCCAAAGCTAGTAATCATCCCCAGGAGCAAAAGAGGCCAGAAAATATCAATTCTTTCAGAAAACACCCATTTGATGGATATTTCACGTCCCCTCGGTTCCTGGAGGAATGGTTAGAAGCGTCGACCATATGCAATCAGAAAACGAACACTCAGATCGGTTGAGCCGGCTCATTATTCTTCCTCGGGGAACAAATACTCTTCACTTAACTGCAATTGAAGAATGCTTTTTAATTCGGTCTGAAAGAATATGAGAGGGTTTATTTCGCCAGAGACATGTTTTTTTTGTGATTGCATATTACCGAAGCTGATAACCATCCCTCCAGGAGAAAAACGGGACAGAAAATATCCATCAAATGAGTGTTTTCTGAAGAAAACACGCATGAAATTGATATTTTCTGTCGCCCTTATTGAGTGAGAGAGAGAGAGAGAGGATTTGCACCTGCGGCCATATGCAAACAGAAAAAAAAACACGCCTTTGTTCATATAAACGGGCTCATCGTCTTCCAGACAGAGCTGAAGAGCATTCTGCAAATGCAGTTAACACAAATGTATTTGTTCCACCGCGTATGAGTACTGAGGTGATTTAACTGATCCGAGTGGTCGTTTTCTAATTGAATCTGATCGAAGCTAGCAACCTTCCTCCAGGAGCAAAAGGGGACAAAAAATATCCATCAAATGGGTGTCTTCTGAAGGAAACGCCCAGGAAATTGTTATTTTCTGTCGTCCTTGTGGAGAGAGAGAGAGAGAGAGAGAGAGAGAGAGGGTTACCACCTTGGGCCTTATGCAATCAGAAAAAAAATACGTCTATGTTCATATAAACTGGCTCATCGTCTTATAAACTGAATTGAAAATTATTCTGCAAATGCTGTTAAAGCAAAAGTATTTGTTCGCGGTTTATAGCCGCGGAGGAGTAATGAGCTGGTTTAACTGATCCGGGAGGTTTTTTTCTGATTGCATATGGCCGAAGCTATTAACCATCCCCAGGAGCAAAAGAGGCCAGAAAATATCAATTCCTTCAGGAAACACCCATTTGATAGATATTTTACGTTCCGTCGGCTCCTGGAGGATTGGTTAGAAGCTTCGGCCATATGCAATCAGAAAAAGACCACTCAGGTCAGTTGAGCCGGCTCATTATGCCTCCGCGGCGTAACAAATACTTTTTTTTCGCAATTGGACGACCTATTCATCGAGTAGGATCCGTTTTCCACTTGACAGTAGAAGAACTTCGCTGGACTAGCAAAAAATAGAAATCGTTGTAAACTAAATATATAAACAATGGGCGCAAAAAAATATGCCCCTGACTTTGAAGGGACATTCTTTCGAAATACGAAGTAAACATACAGAACTGCAAAACATATAGATCTTACGAATCTAATCTAAATCTAAAACATTACCAGAGCTCACGGGGCTTGTCTCTTATTCACTAAGAGAGAAGAAAGTTGAACTCGCTGTGGGCAAAGCTTAGTGAAGGAAGGACGCACACCATGTTGAGTGCGAATAAAAGCTGCCCTAACGTGAGGTTAACTACTTCCAGCAAAGAGGAGGTCTATCTATTAACAGATTAGGAATGTCCAGATCAAAACTCTTCATTAGTTACAATTGAGGTACCTCATACTCGCTTCAAGTGATCCTTGGAGGATATAATTTCGGTTTCTCATAGACCCCCAAAATGGGATCTATGCGCGGGTATAAAAAACCAGCTAATTCCACCATTAGTAATGGTTCTGCAAAGTTTGCAGCCGTTATTAATAGTAAATTTGGAGAGCTTTATTAGCTCCAAATTTCCGCCCAAAATAAAATGTGTGCAGCTTTTCCACGGTTAGAAACATTCCTTATTAGACATTATTTTAGCCACGTATTCGACGTCCGAAAATAACCCTAGTTTGCTGTATAAGCGATTGCCCAAAGATGCTTCGTTACGGATTTACGGGTGTTGAAATTTAATTTTAAAAATACAAAATGATAAATTTCTAGAAAAGGGACGGCGATATTTTAACAAAACTTTCCACATTAATAGCTAGGAAAGACGCATCTTTTGCCATAAACTAATTTTGTTAATGTTTGCTAGTAGCGTGGGTTCACGACACGCTTGATTTTATTAAAGAGAAAAATGGTCCGCCACTGCCTTTTAATAAGTACAATTAATTTTCAAATTCCTTGTTGCATTCCAAATAAAAATATGTTGCATTTTCTTGCAGATGCTAATATTTTCCAAGATCCCCGATTCCCTCGCTAAGCTGCATTTAGAAAAAAAATCACCACGTTTCATCGATTAGAAAAGTTATTTGGTTTAAAAACACTAAAAACCAAAAATATGATTATGTGCGGCGCCTCGTGGAACTCGGGTGCATTTCAGAGGGTGAAACGTGGTAGAAAACGGAAAAGTTGCTTCAAATTTGAATTGGCTTGACATATAAACGTGGCTACAATAAATTCGCAAATGAAATACGTATGTAGGTACCTCAAACTGAATAGAAACCGTTTAAATATTGCACGCGAATAAGAAATAATAGAAAATAGATTTACTTACTTTTTTGTCTAGCACTCAGCTGCTCCTCTTCTAAGCACGTGAGTTCACATGCGGTTTTGAGTCGAAAAGGGTTGCACACTTTTCGATGTAAAAATTATTTGTGGTCGATTGTAAAAACACTTTACTGGTTGATGATGTGCACTACAACTATTGGAGACCCGGTTTGATAATGGTTACGGTGCCAATGGAACGTCCGAACCCGATGCTACCTCACAGTAAAGTGACCCATAGATAAGGACGAGTGAGCATAGGTAGAGTCAGGTGAAAGTGACCACAAAGTGACACAATTCGAAGGAAAGACCCAAAACCTAGGGGTGCAGGTAAAACAAGGGCAAGCCATCTAGCCGCATTATCAAGAAATGTCCACTTTTACCCTTTACCATTTTAGCCCGAAAATGTTTTTATTAAACCATCTAATTTTTCTCCGACATTCATTTGCATTTTATACTATAGTAGGCCCAATTGCCATAACTCTGTGGTGGCTTGCAGGCCTACAAGCAGGACTTCGCCGGTTGTACATGAATGTTCTGCAATGAGCTGTATGAGGATCGCTTAACCACCATTTACTTACAAGTATATAATTATATTACCATAATAAGAGTACTGACTGAAAATTTACAGAGGGATTCAAAAATAATCTGAGAAACTGTAGACTTTAAAGCCCTGTATTTTTACAATTAGTACGGATAATAGACGTTAAAAAACAACAAGTTTTAAACAAAAACATTAAAGTTTTGTACCTGTTCTGTTCTGTAATGTATATGTTCTAATTTAACCCAGGAAATGTTGCTTATAGGTGAACTATTTCCCCGGCAAGTTTGATTTTAAAGCCTTAAACGTACTATTGAGTCATGCAACCATCCGCATTTACCAAGAACAGACCACATTTCCAGTATTGACCCGATATTGACCATTTCACACCCGAAAACAATGGGCGCCAACAACCATAAACTGGTCAAGTCAACATAGAATAAACCCTTGAAAGAGTCGCTCAATAACAACGAAAACGCATACGAGACATACACTGCCGGACAAAAGTAGAGCAACGTTTTGAAATGTACAGGGTGTCCAAGATAATGATGCATTGCATGGGGAACTCCGAAACCGCAAGAGATACAAAGTCGGTTAAATTAGGAAAAAGTTGCGCAATTAAGGCGTTTTCAAAAAACAAGTATTTCTTTTATCTTTTCAGATATTTAGAAAGTTTTTTTTCGGATTTTAGTTTTTATTCATTTTTGCAGTTATTGCGGCAAAATAGTGTTTTCATAAATTATGTCTATTTCACATAGGGTGTTTCCTCATAAGTTGACACCCCTCTTAGATCGTTTATTTCAAAGAAATTGTGAAAGTGACCAGCACAAAAGTTGTTTAATTTTACTCAAATTTTTAAATGTGAATTTTAAATAAAAATATCAAACACCGAAATGTCAACATTTGACAAAGTTTTTTTTTACATACAAATTTTCCATATTTTCTCTCATATTTTCCACGTCATGCCAAGGGGAATTTCAAAAGACTTGAAGCAAAGCGTTGTTAATGCATTCATGAAAGGCGCAAAACAAGCGGATATTTCAAGGCAGTTTGTTTTACCCCGGTACAGTAGTTTATCACGAATAATGTCAGTCTAATAGAGGACCTTTACAAGTTACCAGAATCGGGAAGATCAACAGTATTGACCCACGCGTCTACGCCAAAATTCCGGAAATTAGAGCTGGTATAAGAAACAAAGCTATTTTATAGACGGTCAGGTAAAAACCGGTCAATTTCGATAAGAAATGTAGCATCAAGAAATGCAGCAGCAACACTTAACGACTGGGAAAAGATCCAATTTAGTGATAAAACGAGATACAAACTATTTAAAAAAAATTTCTACTGAGATCGGCCGTGAAAGCCTACATTCCTTGAAAACAACTGACTATTTTGCTTTTGGCAACTGGAAAGTTTACTTCATAGACTGTTTACTACTTTTGAGTGTGGGTTCAGTAATATACAACATGCGGTGTGCAATTTACGGTTCAATAGTTATACGAAACGTTGTAAAACTCTGGAAATAAAGTTTCATATTATCATCATTCAAGTTTCCAAATAACATCATTTTAAGCAACGTATGGACGAATGCTTGTTGTCGTACGAACACATTTATTGTTGCCTCAGCATTTCAAAATGATGATTTTGAGAGGAACTTGCAACTTGAACTTTTAGAGTACTTGCCAAAAACAGGTTTGAGGCACCTTAGCTTGGTGCAGTTCTGACGCATTATACTCAATGTTTTTTCCATGTAGGTACTTAATAACTTTTAAATTACAAATAAACACATAAACACCGTCTGCAGCTGGGACGGGATGAACTGATTAGTTTCGTCACAGTTGTTACCGGTCCCAAGCTCGGATAAAGTGTGGAGGGTTCCAACGTTAGGTTAGCTACCTGCCTAGGGCAAAAAAAAACAATCATAGCTCACAGAAATAAAGGTTAAGCCTCGGATAATGGACGGATTTCGATGACGACCCATGCGAGAACAAGGACAAGGACAACGCAAAAACAAAAATTTATTCTCACTAGATTTGCCTGCTGGAATATCACCTCTTGGAATGGTAGAGATCAGGAGATGATTATGGAAATGGAAAAGCATAAAATAGACATATGTGGAATATCTGAGACCAAAAGAAGGGGAAACCAAGATTATTATTACATCTTTGCCTACAGTGGAAAACCAAAGCAAGACCGCGCCAACTCAGGTGTGGATATTCTTATACATGATAAGTACTCTGACATCATTGAAAACATAGAATACGTAAATGATAGGATCCTAAGAATCAACCTAGCATTCCCCGAGGACCCACTACATCTAATTAGCATCTATGCGCCCGATATATCCAAGCCA